ATATATATATATATGCAAAATGCAATATACAAAATAACAAAATGCAAATAAAAGAAATAATTATAAAATAATTTTAATAATAAAAATGAACATTTTATATTCAACATCTTGGATAAGATTTTGGATAGATCAGCTTGTTTCAATGCATTTTGGCCATTGTCTTCTCCCTAAAGACACCCATGCACTGCTGCCTTAGATTTTGGCTCGATTATGCCGGCTAACCTTTTGGATCAAGCTTAGCATCATTAGTGCGTCTTCAGCGGCTGAGAGCTCTCCGAGTGGTGCAGCGGAGCTCCTGCGCGACGCAGGCGAGCCGTGAATCACATCCATTCAGGGTCTTTTGGGAATGTTTTGCTAACAGTATTTGCAGATCCGCAGAGGGCTAAATTTAGCGCAGGTCTTCCCGGAGTCTACACGGTATAATTAGGAGGTGTGAGAACCCTGCTACAATTATAACTCTATTTATGAGTTGTCACTCAATATATTCACTTGCCATCTCCTAATATATATATATATATATACATATATATGCAAAATGCAATATACAAAATAACAAAATGCAAATAAAAGAAATAATTATAAAATAATTTTAATAATAAAAATGAACATTTTATATTCAACATCTTGGATAAGATTTTGGATAGATCAGCTTGTTTCAATGCATTTTGGCCATTGTCTTCTCCCTAAAGACACCCATGCACTGCTGCCTTAGATTTTGGCTCGATTATGCCGGCTAACCTTTTGGATCAAGCTTAGCATCATTAGTGCGTCTTCAGCGGCTGAGAGCTCTCCGAGTGGTGCAGCGGAGCTCCTGCGCGACGCAGGCGAGCCGTGAATCACATCCATTCAGGGTCTTTTGGGAATGTTTTGCTAACAGTATTTGCAGATCCGCAGAGGGCTAAATTTAGCGCAGGTCTTCCCGGAGTCTACACGGTATAATTAGGAGGTGTGAGAACCCTGCTACAATTCTAAGGTTACTGTCGATAACCGTCACAGCGACGGCCTTAAAGGTGCAGCGTGTGTGTGGTCTTCCACACGCTCCACTGCACTTTAATGTGTGTGTGTGAGTGAGGGAGTGCTTGTATACCAGTGTGTGTGTGGTCTGCCAGTTTGTGTTGTGCCTGTTTGTTTGTGAGAGTGTGTGTGTGTGTGTGTGTTTGTCGAGTGTTTCCCACACTTTACTAAGCAGAAGTGAGACACTCAGTGTGGATTCAGTCAATCAGAGAGCGGCTATTATTTAACTGAAAACAGATCACAGCAGCCCTAAACTTATTTAAACACGTCTGAAAGTCACTGCATTAGAGAGCAAATATCAAATCAAATGACAAATCTGCACTAGAAGACGATTGGTTTGACCTGACTTCATATGCTGGCGCTCAAAAGTTTGAGTTTTTAATGTTGTTCAAATAAGTCTCTTCTGCTCACCAAAGCTGCATTTGGTTGATTAAAAATACAGGAAAAATTGTGAAATATTATTACAATTTATAATAACCATTTTTTTTTGCAATATATTTTAAAATGTAATTTATTTCTGTGATCAAAGCTGTATTTTCAGCATCATTACTCCAGTCTTCAGTGTCACGTGATCCTTCAGAAATCATTCTGATATGCTGATTTGCTGCTTGAGAAACATTTCTTGTATTTGTATTTCAAAATCATGCAAATTTAGCAATGAGCATTTCCCATTCATCTTCTCCACATGGATGAGATAAATCACAAGATCTTTATGAATACAGTGCTGCAGGAAAGAGTTCTAAAGCACGGAAATAAGTTGCATTCTTGTACTTTCACCTTCATCGTCCTGAAGTCAAAGGGTTTTACATATGGTGAATACAAGCTCAGATATTTACCCATGAAGCACTGGGAATGACATTATCGATTTTAAGATAACTGTGACATTTTATCTCACAATTCTGACTTTTTTCTCATAATTTGAGAAAACAAATTCAGATTTGTGAGACATAAAGCCGGAATTGCAAGACATAAAATCAAAATTGTGATATAAAAACTTGCAATTGTGAGAACAAAGTCAGAATTATGAGATAAAATGTCAAACGTAGCTTTTTTATTTTTAATTCTGATGCAAAGTCAGAATTGTGGGATGTAAATTAGGAATTGCAAGAAAAAAGTCTTACAAAAAAAGTTTATATCTTGCCATTCATTTTTTTTTAATCAGAATTCCAAAAAAAAGTCAGAATTTTGAGTTTATATCTTGAAATTCATTTTTTGAAGTCAGAATTCCAAGAAAAATAGTCAGAAATCTGAGTTTATCTCACAATTAAATTTTTTACCCAGAATTCCAAGAAAAATGGTCTGAATTTTGAGTTCATATCTTGCAATAAAATTTTTTTTTACTCAGAATTAAAAAAAAAAAAAGTCCAAATTTTGAGTTTATATCTCGCAATTACATTTTTTACTCAGAATTCCAAGAAAAATAGTCAGAATTTTATCTCATAATTCTATTTTCCCCCCTCGGAATTCCAAGAAAAATAGTCAGAATTCAAAGTTTAAATCTCGCAATTGAATTTTTTAACTTAGAATTCCAAGAAAAATTGTCAGAATTTTGAGTTTATATCTTGGTATTCGATTTTTTTACTCCGAATTCCAAGAAAAACTGTCAGAATTTTATCTCATAATTCTATTTTCCCCCTCAGAATTCCAAGAAAATTAGTCATAATTCTAAGTTTATATCTCACAATTCAATTTTTTTACTCAGAATTCCAAGAAAATTAGTCAAAATTGTATCTCACTCATACTTCTATTTTTTTGTACTCAGAATTGCAAGAAAACAGTCAGAATTGTGAGAAACTTTCTATTTTTTGCATCCCGTGGCAGAAAGTTTCCATAAATTACAGTATACTTAAAGTTGACTGTGAAATTGTTTCCATGATAACTGCATCTTCTCTGATTGGTGGATGTTTTTTTCAGGATTATGGGCATATTACTGATGGTAGTACATATATAAAACATGATTTTCAAAAATAATGATTAAAAAATTTTAAAAAGCTATTGTTAAAAATCAATTTCATGAAGAAAAGGAATGTTATTTATCTGTTACCCGACTGTATTATGAGACGCGTGGAGGAATTCACTGAATCAGAATCAGACAATAGCTGCTGGAGCTGTAAATAAAACACTCACATTAATACATGTAGTAAACTACAAACACACACACACACTGCAGCTGCTCAAAACTATGCTTTCATCAAATGGACAGCCATAAGACTATGAGCTCATGCTAGGAACATGCACACACACACACACACACACACACACACAAACAGTCTTACGTCTCATGCCAAAGCACACATCATCTGAAACAGCGCTTGTGCATCAGCTCAAGTGTGTATTTGTACATGATTCCACAAATCAACGCTCATCTGGAAGAGAAATCCGCTTCCGAGCTACAGTGTAAATAGCATTGCACCAAAACGTTTACTTCGCACTCGTGCATGTCCGTCAAACAGAGACAGTAAACACAATATCCAGAATAAACTCACCGCACTACAACGAAAGTCACCGCTCCTCAAATGCTACTCGAAGCAACACAAATGAACGTTAGAAACAGGAAGAGTCTGTCAAACTATTGTTCGTTCAGTCCAACGTGTCTGTCCACAAACAATCAAAACCAGGTTTAACATCACTCCTCATTTGGATAAAGCTTCAGTTCTGGCGGTGCTTTCAGTGTAGACTTGTTCTCAAGTGCATCGCTTATAGAAATGTTCAGTGTATTTTGTTCATGGGAGAATCCCAATGGAGTATTCACAGTTTGGATGAGTCCGACCGCCGGCTCTGTGTGTGTACAATTTGGTGGAAGGGTTTAACGTTATCCTGAGGAAGAATGTTGACCAAAAATCATGACTTAACGTCTGTTCGGTGATTTCAAAGCACCGTCGGTGAGCTGTAAACATTTCACTTCTGAATACGTATGGAAGAGCTTCTGTCCAGACTGAACTTACACCTTCTGCTTCAAGTGGCACTAAATCAAATGAGCAAATAAAGTCAAACTGTAGTGATAATGCTGATCTTATCCATGTAAAGAGTTCAAATCAACATGAAATGCCAAATCTCAGTACCTCAGTAGTATGATGGCTTTCCAAGAGAAGTGTCTTATTTCATAGAGAAAAACACACAAGTAGTACAATGCAAAAAAAGATTTTTTGAAGTTTCGAAGTAAGATTATTGGAGTATATTTTACAAGAATATACTATTTCTTTATACTTTCTTACTTTTATGTTTAAGTCAATGTGTTACTTGCTGTTTTCCTGAAACTGTGAATTAAAAAAAAAAAAAAAAAAATATATATATATATTTTCTTTCCCTTTAATAAAAAAATTAAACGCTTGTAAATCCTGTTAAACAGATCTACTTTTTTAAAGAATGTAATTAAAGCATTATATATTTTAAGTAAATGGCTGCAATATAACAAAAAGCGAAAAAATTAAGGGGGTCTGAATACTTTCCGTACCCACTGTATATACACACACATACTGTATTGGTGTAAAAACACTTTCCAATTTTCCAATTCTCTTCTGCTCACCAAGGATGCATTTATTTGATTAAAACTACAGTAAATTTTATAGTAATATTGTGAAATATTATTACAATTTAAATTAGCTGTTTTCTATGTAAATATATTGTAAAATGTAATTTATTCCTGTGATCAAAGCTGAATTTTCAGCATCATTACTCCAGTCTTCAGTGTCACATGATCTTCAGAAATCATTCTAATATGCTGCTTTGCTGCTCGAGAAACATTTCTGATTATTATCAGTGTTGAAAACAGTTGTGCTGATGAAAATCTTTAGAAAATAATGTGCAACATAAGTTTTGATTTCATGTTGACTTGAACTCTTATTAGTGAGTGATCAGCACTTGAAGTTGATTTTCTCATAAGGTTAGCGTGAATAAAAGCCAGTGCAGGTGAGGAGATCAGTCCTGGTGAAGCCGCTTAGCTAATCTTGAACCTTAAGACCTCATGAAGTGATTCAAAAACATAGCAAAACACCAGTAGTCTATGCACTTCAGCCAGTGTGTGTGTGTGTGTGTGTGTATTTACAGGTTTGCGTGATCAAACAGTCGTGGCTCTGCTGTGCTGCAGCGCGAGCGGTGAATACTCTTTGAAGCGGACGCAGAGTTTGCCGCGAGTCCATGGGTTATGTAGCGTGAGCGGGCAGAAATCGTCCTGTAGCCATTTCTCTCTCCCCTCCACCAGCAGAACCAGGCCGAAGTGCTCGAGCTGCTCGCTACCGTACACACACACCTCAGATGCACAGGACGGGTATCCGCACTGACCCGGGGCACAGGTGCACTGCTGCGCCGCTTTCTGCAGGTGACGGCACACCGCGTTGATCTCCTGGACCACCAGACGAACCATCTCTTTGGCCGACGTCTCTGGAGTCACGCGTAACTACAAACAGACATACACACATGAATCAGCAGACTAAACTGTCTATTTAGTAGTAAAATATGGTTAGGTGTCTTAATGCTCAAATGCACTATGGTAATAACTCACAAGCAACTTTACACTTAGCGGAACTGAACTGATCATTTAAAATTTCAATTTAGTTCCTGAATTTGAATAGAGGTAGCAAACAGAATGAAGAATTATATTATAAATCTATACAATACAATATAATATAACATAATTTAATATAAGTGTTCTTTTAGTATCATTCATATACTGTTACAGTTTTGGTTAATATTTTGAATGAAATTTTATTTTATATTATCACATTTCAGTTAAAGTTTTGTCATTTTATCTTGTTTTTGTTCTGTCATGTTCATTAGTTTTATTTAATGTGCTTATATAGTTTTTAATAGTTCTTATTTATTAGCTTTTATTTAGTATCTATTTAGTTTTAATTATTTCGGTACATCAAGTTAAACTAAATGAAAATCAGAAATGCTGTTTTGGCTACTAACTGACATATTTTTAAAAATATTTTATTTCAGTTAAAGTTAATTTTATTTCATGGTTTTAGTTAACTATAATAACCTTGAATAATATAATATAATATAATATAGAACTAAAATTGAATAAAAGTACCATAAAATTCATATGACTTCTGGGGTATATGGAATATTTCCAAAAACATTCAAATACATATAAATGGAATCAATTTAATATTTATCTAAATATTTTGTATAAGTATTAAGTATTTAATTAAAATTAATTAATTAAGCATAAAAGGCCTCTAACACTAGCTTGCTCTATTCTTTTTCTATTCTATCTGTTTTCTTTTTATTTATTATATAATTTAAAAAAATACCTTGCTACGTGTACCGCGTTAAGCTAACTGAGACTTGTTATAGCACTTGTATATCATTGCTCTTTTGTTGATTTTGATTGCTTCCATTGTCTTCATTTGTAAGTCGCTTTGGATAAAAGCAACCTGATAAATGACTAAATGTAAATTGTATATATTTATATTCATATTTATATATAATATCTTACATTTACATTTAATAATTTGAGATAATAGACCATGATAAGAATGTTTCATTTTCAAGAATGCTAGAATTTTGTCAATATAACCAATACATTTAAATTAAAACAAGAAAAATTACATTTACTATTTTATTAAATATTGTAATTATATTTAATAAATATAATATAAATTAAAATATGTCTTTTTATTGGGGAAAAAAAACAATATGATTAGCATTTTGTGGTTGTGAATGGCATTTTAAATGTGTTTTGGTTGTTTGCATTAATTACTTTGACAATATTGAACTTCAGAGAAATTTTTAGAGATTTCTAAAGAGCAAATCAGTGAATAAACAGGCATAATTAATTAAAATATAAAGTGAGTGAGTGAAAGTGACGTGACATGTGGCCAAGTATGGTGACCCATACTTGGAATTAGTGCTCTGCATTTATCCCATCCAAAGTGCACACACACAGCAGTGAACACACACACACCGTGAACACACACCCGGAGCAGTGGGCAGCCATTTATGCTGCGGCGCCCGGGGAGCAGTTGGGGGTTCGGTGCCTTGCTCAAGGGCACCTCAGTCGTGGTATTGCAGGGGGGAGAGAGCGCTGTACATTCACTCCCCCCACCTACAATCCCTGCCGGTATGAGACTCAAACCCACAACCTTTGGGTTACGAGTCCGACTCTCTAACCATTAGGCCATGACTTCCCTTCGGATGGGGATGCACCGCTCCCGGAAGTACTGCAATACCGAGTCGATGCGTGGAGTGGATGGAGCAAGCCCCTATTAATATATTAAACTGATAAGAACAGATACTACACTTAATCTTAGCCAAAAGGCCGAGAAGCGATAAAATATGTGAACCGGGACCACAAAACCAGTCATAAGGGTCAATTTTTTGAAATTGAGATTTATACATCATCTATTGATACATCATCTGAAAGCTGAATAAATAAGCTTTCCATTGATGTATGGTTTGTTAGGATAGGAAAATATTTGATATCCGAGATACAACTATCTGAAAATCTGAAATCTGAGGGTGCAAAAAAATAAAAAAAATGGAGAAAATCCCCTTTAAAGTTGTCCAAATTAAGTTCTTAGCAATGCATACTAATCAAAAATTAAGTTTTAATATATTTACGGTAGGAAATTTACAAAATATCTTCATGGAACACGATCTTTACTTAATATCCAAAAATCATTTGGCATAAAAGAAAAATCAATAATTTTGACCCATACAATGTATTTTTGGCTATTGCTACAAATATACCCGTGCTACTTACGACTGGTTTTGTGCTCCAGGGTCACATATAATGAAAGTGGACAACTGAAATTCCTCTGTGAGTGTTGCAGTTAAATTTCTTTGAACTGAATTCCTCCAACTGTCATTTCTATACAAATTCCAATACAACTTCCTGTAGGGCCAATGAAATTGAAATGCACACTAAAGCACCCTGAGCTTCATCCACTACTGTGATGATTAGTGTATGAGCTCACACACACACACACACTCACTTTGACACTGGTGTCTTTAGGTAAGCCGGTGCGGTATTGTGGGTAAACTCTCAGTGTGCTGTGGCACGGCCGGTGAGGGGAACCGGCGGAGAGTCGCTGGACGCCGCTGTCCTCTGATAGGGTGCGCACCGGCACGGGGCAGGGCTCGGGAGCGGAGAAGCAGAGGTCGAAGGAGGAGGGGCGTGTCCAGTGCTTCTGATTGGAGGAGCTGGTGGGCGTGGTTGGCATGGAGACGGGAGGCGGGTACTCCAGACTGCTGGTGCGGATGCAGAGCGCCGTTCTCTTCTCGGTGACCCGCAGCAGCTCGATCTGACGGCTCGGCAGGATGAAGTCGCTGTCGAAGGCGCTCATGTGCTCGCGTCTGCTCACCCCTCCTCCGGTCTGCAGCACGTCCGGCTGAGAGGAGCGAGGCGAGGACTGCGAGGAGGAGGAAGGGTGTGTGGACGCCACGGATCTGAAGCTGGTAGGAGACGGTGGGAGCAGGTCCAGCTCTCTGGTGCTCTGGGCCACACTGGAGCTGTACTCACTATCAGTGGTGAGGAACACCTCCGAGGAGTTATCCTCATCCGACAGACCGTGGCAATCTGGGGAAAGCCAGAAAGAGAGAGTTCTTAAAGGAGCAGTTAACTTTGTCATTTACTCACCTTTAGGTTATTTGTGACCCTGGATCTCAAAACCAGTCATAATGGTCAATTTCTGGAAATTGAGATTTATACAGCATCTGAAAGCTGAATAAATGAGCTTCCCATTGATGTATGGTTTGTTAGGATAGGACAATATTTGGCCGAGATACAACTATTTGAAAATCTGGAATCTGAGGGTGAAAAAAAATCTAAATATTGAGAAAATCATCTTTAAAGCTGTTCAAATGAAGTTCGTAGCAATGCATATTACTAATCAAAAATGAA